GTACAATAATATATGGTAACATTACTGTTTTATTCATTATTTATGGTATACTTAACATATATATTACTCGTTATATCAAGTATTGTAAAATGTGACACGAACGTTATCTACATCCAGTTGAGAGAGTGTTTTAATAAACTTTAAAAATGAATAATATGCCCATAAGTGCAAACAATGTTACAAAAAAAATCAAAAATAGAGTAATAAATTTAGGAGACGTAACAAGGAAAGTAGTCGCACATAGCACTGTTCGAGAAGTCAAAGACAGAGTTTATATTCTGCAAAGGGCACAGTAGGGAGCTCAGGTTTGGTGGTGGGATATTAGCTATAAATCGTACTTTTGTTAATTAACTTGTTACTGTTAACACATGCACGTTCATTGTGTTTCGGGCCATTTGTCTCTTTATGTTCTGGTCAGAATGATATATCTAATACAACTAGTGACTCAGTAGGCTATTTTAAATTAGGATTAGGAAAGACCACTTGTGAGGTGTGAATGTGAATTAAACATTAGTTTGGGAAGGCTGGCAAGCGTTCTTTGTTCCGGGTGACTCATTTAAGGAAACCAAGTCTATGAAATAATAAATCCTTGTACTATAAACATATATCTTTCTTGTATTAAAAAGGATTTGTGTGCAATCGACGATTAAATTTTAATGGTTGTTTTAGTGACGTGTTATCGATTTGTGATTGGTGGATAACGAGAGAGCGAGACCACGTGTAAAGCGAGTGTTTAGTTCAATGCTGGCTGAAAGCTGTACGCCTTCACATTTCATCCAAAGCCCTCGAATTTTCGACTTATGACAAATGATACGGTTTGTTTTGTGTCCTCTGATATTTCCCAAAGAAACCATATTAATGATAGATGGAGCTTCTAGGTTAAAAAAAAACAAACACTTTTATTACAACTTATTCTACTTTAGTTACGACTTATTATGATTTTATTATCACGTATTCTACTTTAGCAAGTACAATTATTAAAATAAAAGAGATTTAACAAATTAAATCTAAGTTGGACTCTGAATATATATTTTAGGTTTGGTACCAGACGTCCTCTTGTGGCCAAAAGACAAAAGAATATTTTATAATCAGCAGCAAGACACGAGAGCTATAAGGCTTAGACGACTGACGTCAAAGAGGTTCCACCATGACACCGCAGAAAAAGGTATTAAACTAATTATCGTCATAATTTTTTTATAATAATCCCCATGTACCTTAGTGATTCTAGGCCTGGGGATATGCACGAGAGAAGCGACCATATTGGTTGATATGTGTTTCAATTCTCTTCCTGGCTCGTAGATAATTTTTAAGAAACTAATTCGTTGTTCTTTGTTTTTAATTTTTAAACATTTCAATTTTTTTAACTTTCCTCATATTTTTATTCAAAATCAATAAGTTTCAATCTGCATGAAAGTTTTATTATCGTCCATTACTCTTTAACTTGTATCAGTTTTTAACTCCTCATTACCTTTCCACTTGTGTCAATTCTTAATTATCCATTACTTTTAACTACACTCAATTTTTAACTCGTCATTACTTTTAACTACTGTCAATTTTTAACTCGTCATTACTTTAAACTACTGTCAATTTTTAACTCGTCATTACTTTAACTACTGTAAATTTTTAACTCGTCATTACTTTTAACTATTGTCAATTCTTAATTTGTCATTACTTTAACTACTGTCAATTTTAACTCGTCATTACTTTAACTACTGTCAATTTTAACTCGTCATTACTTTAACTACTGTGAATTCTTAATTACCCATTACTTTTAACTACTGTCAG